CCCCCATTCACCCCACCTACCGTAGTGCACTCAAGGATACAAACTGGTACAATGCTATGCAGGATGAATTTAATGCTTTGATTGCTAATAATACATGGGATTTAGTACCCCCCCTCCCCCAACCAAAATGTTATCTCTGGCAAATGGCTTTTCAGGCACAAACTTAGCCCCACAGGTGAACTGTCCAGGTATAAGGCACGGTGGGTTGTCCGTGGGTTCAATCAGCGCCATGGCATTGATTATGATGAGACGTTCAGCCCGGTGGTCAAGCCCGCGACCATACGCATCATCCTCAGCTTGGCCGTCTCTCGGGGGTGGCAGATCCACCAACTGGATGTCAAGAACGCCTTTCTTCATGGTTCCCTCACAGAGACTGTCTACACAGCTCAACCATCTGGGTTTCAGGATCCTGCTCGTCCTCACTATGTTTGCAAACTAAACAAGGCGCTCTATGGTCTGAAACAAGCACCGCGGTCATGGTACCAGCGTTTCACGGGCTTCCTCCTCTCCATTGGGTTCCGCGGTTGCAAGAGCGATACCTCCTTGTTCACTTATGGCCAGGGGTCACAAATGGCATTTTTGCTTCTATATGTCGATGATATCATTCTCACAGCCTCCACCCAGGCACTTCTTCAAAGCATCATGCAACAGCTAAAAGGGGAATTTGCTATGACGGATATGGGGGACCTCCACTTTTTCCTGGGGATCAATGTGCAGCGCACGACTCATGGGTTATTTCTTACTCAGACTCAGTTCCTTTATGACATTCTTGAGCGTGCAGGAATGCTTTCGTGCAAACCCATCTCCACACCAGCTGATACTCGCGGGAAGCTCTCGGCCTCAGCAGGCCCCCCAGCACCGGATCCCACCCTGTACCGGTCCATTGTAGGGGCACTACAGTACCTCACCTTCACCCGTCCCGATATCACATATGCCGTCCAGCAGCTGTGCCTCTTTCTACATGATCCACGCACCCCGCATGTCACAGCAATGAAACGGGTGCTACAGTACCTCCATGGGACTCCCTCTCACGGCATTTCTATCTCTCCGTCTCCCACGGATTCTATGCGGGCTTACTCAGATGCTGACTGGGTCGGTTGTCCTAACACACGCCGATCCACGACCGGTTACTGCATCTTCCTCGGTGACAATCTTATTTCATGGTCAACCAAACGTCAGCAAACCACGTCCCGATCAAGTACGGAAGCGGAATACAGGGCCATAGCGAATGCAGTAGCTGAAGTTAGTTGGGTGCGTAACTTACTCCAGGAACTTCAGCAACCTATCAGCCGTTCTACCCTGGTGTTCTGTGACAATGTTAGTGCTGCCTATCTTTCAGCTAATCCTGTCAAACACCAGCGCACAAAACACATCGAGGTTGATATCCACTTTGTTCGAGATAAGGTTGCTCTCGGCCATACACGTGTTCTCCATGTTCCTTCCTCATTACAGTATGCAGATATCTTTACAAAGGGACTCCCAACCATGATCTTTACAGAATTTCGGGATAGTTTGGGGATCCAGAAATCATCACCAGTGCCGTTGGGAGCATGTTAAATATAGTAACTCTATATTTATTATATTATGCATATATTAGTGTATATTCTAGTTACCATTCTTATGTAGATTACCTTTATTGTATTCCTACCATAACTAGGATTCTCTTAGTATATATATACTTTGCCATGTATTTCATTATTCCTTGAATAATATAATTATTCCATTATTGAATATGGTATCGGAGCTAAGGTATCTAATCTAAAAAATCTAGCCTCCTTTCTGCTACGATCACGATCAACCGCCACACATCATGGCATCTTCGTCCCTTATCCCCCCCCCCTCTCTCTCTTAAAAAAACTATGTGCGTGCCTAACAGCCGCCACCGCTCTCGACGAACGTGTCTAACAGTCATTGTCCTTTATGCCTCTCTCTCTATAAAAATTCGTATGCATGATCGAAGAGCTACAAAGCTGCATTTGTATGTGTTTCTTCTAGAGTCTGAGAGCAGAAAAGCGATTGAGAAGTAGAGAATGGCCAAAAAAGAGAAAAAAGAAGCTCCTCGCCCTCGCTCCAATTTTCAACGCTCTCCGCCAGGAAAAAAACTCAACACATGCACTTTTAAGCTTGTCCGTCACACAATGAATATTTAAGTAATTGTCACTCTACTTCTAGCAGACTTACTTATGAAGGCACTATCTTCTCCGGGATTTCAGGCTCTTGTTTCCAAGCTTCAACTCGTGACACAAGTTATGGTAGTATTTGTATTTTGTTTGGTTTCTATTATTGATTCATGTTCCTAGTTGGGGTGATAATCCCTCTATATATACCTTTCCATGTATTTCATTATTCCTTGAATAATATAATTATTCCATTATTCAATATCTATGAAAACTTTGCTATTTAAAGAAAAGGATAAGCGTTTTCAAAAAAAGAAAACGATAAGCTTCGTCCTGAAGATTGCACTTTTGACCAAAAAAAGTCAAAACTGGAAAGATTTTTAGGAACAGAGGGAATACCACATAGCAAATACTCAATAAAAATTGAGTGATTTAAATTTGGTGTTTTACATGTGTAAATCGAAACTAAAAAAAACTTACGTGGTTCTAACGTCCATGTTCATTTTATAGACCTAAGTTTATTGACATCGTAAAATAATTAGGCTTTTTACAAAAAAGAAATATCCCTAGATAACAGTAAAAAAGAATGAAAATACTAGAATAAGATTCTTAAATCTTTAAAGAACAAAATAGGAGTATATCAACAGTGTGGTGTAAGAGTACGCGTTGGCAGTGTAATGGAAAACTGATGACAGTGTCATGTGTCAATGTGTCATGTGTCAGTGTGATCAGTCAATCGTCTTATGACTCCTATTTGAGCATTTTTATAGTTCTTTACTTTTATCTATGGAGTTCTCCCTTTACAAAAAAGAATGATCTACTTGCAACTCATGAAAAGTTTGATAAAGTTTACATTTCACATTTGGACTTTAGGATCATGGAAGAACAACTCTTCCACATAAGGATGCATTCCATTCAACCGATTTTTCTTTTTATTACTTATTTTATTTAAAACTAGATTAAATCAGATCAATGTAGATCAGATTTGATCTAATCATATCAATTCGGATAAAAAATGTTAAAAATAATATTAATATTTTGTTTATGATTTAATAATAATTTATTTACAATTAAATCATGTGACATTATTTAATGTTGCATATGATTAAAAGATGTTGCTAAATCTACTCTGTTTTAATTAAAATCACAATATTTGTTACAAATATACATATTTACCGCTAAAAGTATAAAAATATGGATTTATTTAGCAACACCTATTGGATTTAACCAAACTTATTTAAAGGATAGACTTGTCTAATTTTTATAAATGGGGTGGATTTAACCAAGTATGGGATGGATTTAGCAACACCCATAACTAAATACGGTGTTATAATTACTATTATAATGTTATATACAATTAAATAATAATAATGTTACATATGAATAATACGAAGTACTTATTATTATTATTATTATTATTATTATTATTATTATTATTATTATTATTACTATTATTATTGTAGACTATAATATTTTACCATGTAATAATAATAATAACGCAAATAAGTAATAATTCTCATGAAGTTGGAATAGTGCTCTAGAAGAAAGATATGAGACGAATGGAGTAATAATTTTATAATAATACTCTCTTCACCCAATAAAAGGATTGTTCATTTTGTCTTCACAGAGATTAAAAAATATAGAAATGATATAGAAAGGGAGAACCTCCTAGATAGGAGTAAAAAACTATGAAAATACGAAAATAGGAGTCATAAGTGTTTTATGACAAAAATAGGAGTTCACAGTGTCATTGTTATACTGGCATACTCACCACATTGTCGCATTGTAACTGCCACGTAATCGCTGTCACACTGTCATCTATCGCTCCTGGCCACCAGAGTCCCGCCACGGGTCGTTGACGATTGACTGATCACACTGAGATTCTGAGATATTACATTGTCATCACATTTCATCACACTGCCAACACATACTCTTACATCACAATGTCATTATACCCTTATTTTGGTTTTAAAGATTTAAGACTTCTATTTTAGTATTTTCTTATATAGAAATGATACCGAAAAGAAGTTGAATGTTCCGTATTAAAAAAATAAGTGGTAAAGTTTTCTCATCTAGAAGGAAATGAAGTGTTTTGGACCGCATAAACATCGCTAAAAGTCGAACCATTAAGAGTCAAAAAAATTTCTAAAATTTGGAACATCTACATATAAAAGATTATGTTAGCATGATTTATACATTTAAGGATAACTATATTTCTAACACGATTAGTACGAAATAATGAAATATGGAGTGATGTGAATTAGCCCAACAACTATGGCGGTGAAGAATGGTTTATAATGATAATTGATAAATTTCACAATATTTCAATTAATAACTGTGTTTTAGTGTTTTTCACTTGCCTTACAATGGAGGCTTCTCCCTCTATTTATGTTACCTACAATTACATACATAATGGATATTTATCGTGCGCATAATTCTCGCCATTATCGCTTGCACACCAATCGTGGTCGTTCACCATATTTCCCTTGATCTCTCCATGTCCCTGCGCTGCTCAGAAACTTTACTTTACATTCGGGCCAAGTGACGAGAATCTGGGCCTTTGATCGCACCGGCCCAAGTCGCTCATGCGGATTGGGCCATTCATTCACGTTCTCTGGGTCCCGATATCCATCACAAGCCCCCTAGTTCCTTAGAGACATGTCGCTAAGGAACTACAGTTGCGCCGCCCTTGGTCTAAGCGCTGGTTAGGAAACGAATGCATTTCCCACCCTCTGAGTCGTGTCTTTTATTCCCGCTCTAACTCACTATCCATTTTAGGTGTACGTATTGTTCTTGATTCGTCCCCAATTTCCTCTGCAAATCCTTCAATTTCTCACGAAGGTCTCCCGCATCATGGCTCAATCTGCTGAAATTGCTCACCTAGAACTCGGCCCTTCCAAGATCAAGAGCTCTGAACTCGCTCTCATGCGCGATCTCTTGGGTGCACCCTTCAAAATTCATCATCCGAACGCCGTTGGAGGAATTTTGTGTACCCAAAATCTGTGGCACCAGAGCGTTTCCTGGTGATGCACTATGATTCGGTTCTTCACGACTCCAAGCTTCCTCTTCACTCCTTTATCTGCGAAGTGTGCAGAAATTGGGATCTTCTCCCTGGGAAATTTACGGCTAATGCAAGTACCTCACATCTTACATTCTGAGCTGTTGCGAGAAGTTTAGGACCCCTTATGTGAGGGATTTCATGCACTTCTTCAACCTCGAGGGTGATTCTCTTTTTTCAGTCTTTACCCCAATCAGAAATACGTCCTCGTCACCAAAGTGGAGCTGCGTATTAAAGGTTGGGAGGACAACTTCTTTGTGATTGAAGCCCTTGCGGATCTTCCTTTTGACCTACAAACTGAGCCCCATAAGAACAAGCTTTCTCAGACCCCCTTTTCTAAGGGGTTCCCAGGCTGAGAAAGCCTTTGAAGAGATGAAGGATAGCGGACTTATCGATCATGAGCGCCTCTAGAATCCTAAATTGTTCAGGCAAACTGGATTCTACTTCTTGGGGAATCATCCCCTTATCTCATCCGATTCTGCCCAAATCATCTCCTCTGACTCTGGTGCCAACAGCTCTCAAGATCCTACTTCTCCTGAGCGGAACGAACCCTCATCCCTTGATGCCGGAAATCCCTAGTCCATCAACGCATTTTACTCGGCTCTAGGTGTATCACCTCTTGTTCTAGTCTTCTAGAAACCATCCACCACACAGAAGCGCAAACACCTAGACATTTTTGCACTATCCCAATCCAAGAGGCAAAAAGGTTCCCCCTTAAAGTCAGTTTCTCTGGCATCTGTAGTTATTTCTATCCCCAATGTCCCGGAGGTAGTTCCAGACCATCCTCCATCGGGTGCACCCTCTAAGGATAACAGCCGAGCGTCCCGGATGGACAATGCAGCCCAGGCGTCCCAAGAGGATCACCCCACTGAGGGTACAGATGAAGTCATCACACTGGCAGGGCAGCCCCTGTGACCACTCCTACTGGCTCTCCATTAAAGGTTTCCACCATTGCGACGAGGGCCCTAGCTGACCGTGTCCGTATGCCTTCGTCTTCAGCTTCACCACTTTCCTCTGCTGCAGCCATCCTATGTCCTTCCATCACCTATAGGTTTAGTCCGGACACTTTGACTTGTTTCAAGCAGAATTGGGCCTTTGTGCAGCGTAAGCTCCAGGCGGCTAAGAATGCTCATGTCCAAGGGCAAATAAGAAGTACAATTAAGAAAAACTTAGGTCTACCTTAGTTGGTGTCTACCATGTGTAAACTAGACTTCTCACAGCTGAAAAGTCTGATATATACTTGGTATACACCAATTTGGTACCCAGCACACCTCGTACAATTATTAAATTCAAGACATGAGTGGAGTGGTGGTACTTGGTACTTTAATTACGTCATGAACTACAATCCAAAAATATACAAATGCATTACGTAAATGCATGGTACGAAAATAATTGAAAGGTTGTACCAATTTTATTTTGATACCAAAAATTGTATTCAAACTAGGGACAGGAGGGAGTATATTATTTGGTACTTTGTAATTGAGAGCCATTCATACCCCTTCATTCATTTAGCGTCATTTGTAATTCTAATGCCACCTAATAATACACAACTTTAATCAATAAATTCTCTTTATTTTTTGAAAATTTCAAAATAACCTCTATCTCATTCCAAGTTTACGTTAACTTGTTTCACTTTTGTCTATTTTCTTTACAACACTTTTATCTATATTGTACTAATATGCCATACAAATTAAAAGTAATTGATGATTAGAGTTCATCCAGTTTGACATGAAAAAGTCAAAATAGACGAAACAATAGGATAGATGGAGTAATTCTTAAGATTGTACTCCCTCCATCTGGCAAAAGACTTTACTTCTTCTCTTTTCTTTCCTTCAAAAAACATTTAATCATATATTCTCACTTTCAATACTTTTTTCTAAATTTTATGAATATTAAACACATAAGATTTTTATGGAATGGGTGTCGTATTTATTGTATATCTGACATAAGTATATTAATTTTTTTTTACCAATAATTACATCCAAATATAATAACTTACTAAATTATTTGGAGTGAAAAACAATAGTGTACACATATTTACCAAAATTTAATTTCTTTTTGAGGAAAATAACTAAATTAAGCATGGAGGGAAGCTAGAAAAATTAGATTTGGGCATATTTTTTATGGTCCGAAAGTAATTTAAGACAATCTCTCTCAACTATTATGTATTGTACGTTACTAAGTTCTTACGGAGTATGATATATAATTAAATAATTTTTTTGTAAAATCATTCTCCCTCCGTCCCAAAACGAATTTCTCACTTCGAACAGCGAACAAAATTTCATATATTTTAAAATTAAATGAAATTTTTACAAATTTGTATAAAAATAAAAATTAAAAATTACATATTTTGAAACAAAATGTGACAAAAATAATTTATTTTATTAAATAATCAATAAAAAAGACAAATAAATACAAAACATCGAGAATTTAGAATAGTGATTGAGATGATATTTGAGGGACGGAGGAAGTATATAATTATGTTCTAAACATTTAATAAAATATTAAAAAAAATTAAATTCAATGTAAGTAAATATTGTTTAAAAACATAATTATGTTGTAAACTAATAGCCTTCTTTGGAAGTAACTTTTTAATTAGTATTTTGATTAATATTTTAATGGTACAAATTAATTTTAAATATATTTTTAGACAGATTTTTTAAAACATTAAAGCTAAACTTTGAAGTTTTTGCCAAACGATACAGTTTCTCACCTTTATTTCACATATACTCCGGGTAATACTTTTGTTAATTATACTAAATGGAGAAATATGAAAATTAAATTCCTTCATTATACTACGGAGTACTATGTACGGAGTATATGCTAAAATTTCTATAATTCTTTATTTATCAAGAATTAATAGGGATTGAAGCAATAATATATCAATTATTTTAAAATTGGATATTGACTTTGTAATTAATGATAGCTGAAAATTGTTTCAGGGACAAAAAATATTTTTTATATAAGTTATGAAGTTACTTTAATTTATCATTATTTTATTCACATTGATGATGATGATATGATTTTAATAATGAAAGTAAGTGTACTAATAATATGAAAAATACTCCAAAATAGTTGTATTTTAGGTCATTGTTGAAAAAAATTAGAAGAATTTAAAAGAAAGGAAAAAGTTGAAGAAACTAAAATGGATTAGAAAATATTGATATTTAAGAGTTAGAGTCAAACAAAAGTATAGAACATAATATAATTATAAATAATAAAGAAAATAATGAGTAATTATTAAATAAGAATAATAATATTATTATTATTAACGAAATCAAATCGAAAAAGTAGGATAACGAAAGCGTAGAATGAGATGGGAAAAATTTTGTAATTTTAGAAAAATAAAGGAAACTTATTAATTAATCATATACTAGTACTATACTAGTGTATATATAAAGTAGAGTTCATGTGTTGTAGTGTTGACATGTGGCATACTACATGTGCACCCACTAATGAGGTGGATATATGCATTTCAATTCATTGGTCCATTTAGATTTTTTTAAAAGATCGTTGAACACATTTGTATAAAACTTTTTCATTTTTTAATAATTCTATAAATATATATTTCGCCATTGTAAAATATACTCCATATTATATATATATATATATATATATATATATATAGACACGCACACACACACACACATAATTATTTTTATACTATCCACAACTTATTCTATTTTATTACTTTTTAAAAAATGATTATATAAATTTAATCACATATGCATATTTATTAATTAAATACGTTGTTTCAAAAATTTTATCTTATTACATTATTTATTTTATTGCTACATATATTATTTAACAAAGTAAATAGAATAAAAATGATTTAATTGAAGGGTGACAACTGACAAGTGACATTATGACACATATACATTCTCTAATGATGTATCATTATGTAATTAATCCACTTTTTATTAAAATATTTTATCAATTAAAACTATTTTTATTAGTACTTAATTCAATGACCATTAATTTTGTAAAATTTGTTTGTTTTTAAATTAACATACCAAGATATATTGCACCAGTTTAAAATATATTTTGTCACTATTAAAAAACTAAAACAAATAAAATTATATTTATAGAATCTCAAAAATTTAGAATGTATACGAGCCGTGCGAAGCACGGGGTTAACACTAGTGTAGGAGTACTATATGGCATACAAGTACAAATGTCAATTGTCGAATGCAAAGGCACCCAAGAAAAACCCTTAGAGCACTGGTAATATGTTTGAAGCCCCGGGGCTTCAAACCGGGGCTTCAAACTTTCTCTCTCTGCCACGTTAGTTTTAACTTACACCCAAAATTCACTAGAAATGGGTTTGAAGCCCCGGGGCTTCAAACTGAGGCTTCAAACCTTCATTTTTTACATTTTTAAATATACATCTTCTAAAATTAAATTAATAAAATGTAATTAATTTATTATTTAATTAAATTGAAACACGAATAATAAAAAAACACATTAATTAAATAAAAAAGCGACAATAATTTAAAAAAAAAGATACATTAATAAAAAAAACTAAGGTAAATTATATTTCTCCTTGATCTCCCTCATTCTATTCGTCCAAACTCCGACAACGTCCCGGGGTCGGTTTGCATGACTTTCATCTCGGCCTCCTGCTCCTTTAGCTTCAACTCCTTCTCTTTAAGCTTCAACCTCTCTTGTTCTTGGAGATTGAACGCCCGAAGTTGTTCAATCATTGCCCAGCCAATTTCGTAACAGGAGCATTCCTCGTAAAGAAGTGAGTTGGTCCCGGGTTCGGTAGGAGCCGTCCTTCTTCATCGCCGTGAAGAACTTCTCCTCGATACGATCCCACATCGCATCCTTCGTTTGCTCCGCACCTTTAAAAATGTATTACACAATTTTTTTAGACACCATTAAATATAATATATATAAATAAAAACATAAATATATTAGAAAAATAATTTTTTTACCAATGATAGGATGCTCAAAGACGTCAACCCAAGCCGACGCCAATATGCACTCCTCCTCCGGCGACCACTTTTTGATTGACCGTGCCGCCTCGGTCAACGTGCTTTTGGCTTTGTGGCTTTTCCGGCGTGTACTTTTTTTCGATCCGGACGGTTCCGGTTGAGTCTCCGGAACCGAATCTCGGTCGACGTACCCCGATTGTTGCGTCTCGTAGATCGGCGGTCGATCGACCCACTCTTGGTAGAACCACATCGCTGCGTCACTCGGCGGGAGATCGTCGGGAATGAAGCCGGAGCCGGAAGGATTCATGTTGAAAATTGGGAGGGGGGGTTTGAATTTTGAAATTTAAAAATAAGAAAGAAGAAGAGATTGAAGAGAAGGTGTGAGAGATTGGTTGGGGGGGGGTTGAATTTATAGGTAAAAAAAAAAATTTTGAAATTTGGGCTGCAACGGCTTATAGGAGGGAGGGGGAGAAGAAGCACGGCGCGTCATTCGTTTGACGCGGGGCTCCTCACGCCCCTTTAACGCCGGCGGGGGGCGGTGTTTCACGCCCCGTAACGCCGGTGGGAGTGAGGAGTATACCAGTGCTCTTACACCTATATTGGTTCAAGGAATTATGAAGGAAAAGAATAGAAACTGAGTTTGTTTTATTTTCCTCACCAAAATGTAAGAAATTTAGTTTTTTCTTTTCTTATGGCATGTTTAGGAATAGCGTAAGAGATTAACGTCAGCGTTTTGGATAACATTTTAACGGTGTAGATTACTTTGAAAACGCTAACGCTAAACGCTGGTCGTAGATAGCCTTTTTAAAACGTTAATGCTAATCTCTAACGTTATTCTCGAACTGGCCCTTAGTATATTTTACCTTTTCCATTTCTTTTCTATCCACTCTAATCAAATAAGAAAAACGACGTTCATTCTTAATTTCTTTTCTAATCACTTTCAAATTCCTGGAACCAAACATAGTGTTATGATAATTTAAACAAGATTTTTATACTACCTCCATTCCACTCTCTTTGTCCACTTTTGACTTTTGGAACTGTTCATCTAAGCACTTTGACTCATCAAATTCTCTCAATGTGTAAGCCTAAATATAATCATGTGTGATCTTGTTTGATTTGTCTTAACATAAAGATTATTAATATATAATTTCTATAATTTTTTAATATACAAATTACAAGATAAAATGGATTAAAGAAGTGCATTGGATGGTGTGCCAAAAGGTAAGTGGACAAAGAGAGTGGGACGGAGGGAGTATGAACAAAGCAAGTAATACACTCGTTATAAGTTCACAAATGTAGGAAAATTTCACCTGACACAATACAACACTACCGGATGTGCCAAACATATACATTGGTTGCCATATAAAATGACACCGGTTACTTATACACCAGTTGCTTACACCAGTTCGTTTAAGGTACCTACGGTGCTCCGTTTGTAAAAACGACAGTTCCTACCCCCCTAACCCCCCCTAAACCCCCCACCCCAGCCCCACCCTTGCCCCCCACCCTAGCCCCCCCTCCCGTCCCCCTCCCTACCCTGGCAGTACACTGCCAAGCAGTGTACTGCCAGGGTAGGGAGGGGTGCGGGAGGGGGGGCTGGGGTGGGGGGTTTAGGGGGAGAGTTAGGGGGGGTAGAAACCGTCGTTTTTACAAACGGAGCATCGTAGGTACCCCAAACGAACTGGTGTAAGCAAATGAAACCAGTAGCACTGGTGTCATTTTAGACTTACCATATAAATAAATATAAACACAGAGCATAATTGGGTGACAGAATATATAGTTATATACCAACCCTTATTTAAATTTCATTTTCCCTTAATTAAGATAGTGTTTAGGGAAACCCTTGAATCAAATACAGTATAACTTATAGTTTAACGTTGACTTGATGGTCAAAATGTTTCGCATTTCCCTTACCATTCTCCTTGAACCTGTCCATCCTGAACGGATCCAGGTCATGTGGGCCGCTCGAAGATCCACTCCGGACAAGATCCACCAATATCCGGCCCACTAACGGTCCCATTTTGAACCCGTGGCCGGAGAACCCACCGGCGATCACCACATCCTTCCCGAACTCACCTCCCAAGAAGTCGATCACGTAGTCCTCGTCCGGCGTCATCGAGTATAAGCATGACTGCGACATCACCGGCGCCGACGAGTCAACCCGGTCTCCGAATCGTCCCTCTATCCATTGCTTCAATAAACTCAGAGAACCTTCCAACGGAGCAAAGGTGCGCCGTTCCGGTTCGATTTCTCGGCCGCCGTGCCAGCCGACCTTGATCAGACCGGGGAACTCAATGGACGGCGTTCCATACACGTACGGAAAGTCATAGCTAGCGAACGACGGGAAGCCGCTTCCGGCGGTAAACTCTTCCTCGTGCCCGGCTCTGATCTTCCAATACGAGACATTTGTCTCAACCGCTTGAATCGGAAGCACCACCCGGCCGTCGGTGACCGTCTCCACCAACCGTCTAGCCCACGCGCCTACAGTGACGACGCATCTCTTACCCAGAAATTTCTCTCCGCCTTTTGCGGTAACAGAAACGCCACCTGTACGACTATCTCTCTCCAACCCGTTAACTTCCACGTGGTCTCTCAGGGTCGCGCCGTGTTTAACCGCCAGCGCTTGGAACATGGAGACGGCTTTGGTGGGCTTAATAACGCCGCCGTGCTCCGTCACAACGCCGACCCAGCCATCGGGCAGCCGGAAACGGCCGCCAAAATCTTCACGGACCTGTTCGGGATCCAAAACTCGGACCGGAATTGAGGTATTCCGGCAGCAGGATACGACGGCTTGCAGGGCCTTGTTGTCGGCTGGGCCCATGTCCAATTGCCGGGTCTTGAAGAAGACGCTGTAGCCGATCTCAGCTTCGGCTTCGCGCCAGAGGGGCTCGGCGGCTAAGACCATCTTGGCGTAATACTCTTCGGGGTAGGTGGCGCGTATGGTTCTGGACTCGCCGTGGGAGGAGCCGCGGTGGTGCAAAAAGTCAAATTGCTCCAAGAGGAGAGTCCTTAGGCCGCGTTTGGCCGATTCGTAAGCCGCGCAGCTCCCCATTATTCCTCCACCTATAACAATCACATCGAATTCGATCGTCTCCATCTCCCCCTATCTCTTACGGAGTATTTGCAATGAAAAATGGGGCGGAGCTTTGAGCTTCGAATAGAGTAGCAGACTGTCCCAAATCGGGGAATGATTGACCGTATATATATCAACTATCAAAGTATCAAGTATGCTAGATTACCCCAATATAATCAAATATATGGGTGTAAATCGGTATCCATTTATTTTTATCAGATACCAAATTTGGATAAGGATCTTGACGGATACTAAAAATCAAAATCGTATCTGCATTCGTCGGATGTCGGTCGGATATCAGATATATCCGTATCCGATTCCAATTTTTAAAATTAAATTGAAAAATACTTTAATTTCCAATTAAATTAAAGTCTAAATATTATTCATTCAATTGTAATTTGTTACGGAGTAATTTTTTCTTTTTTTAAAATTTATAATATTCTACAACAACTCCGTATGGTAAAAAGATATGCACAATACACATACACACAAATTTTTATTTGTCTTCACATATGTTTATGTATCTACACATTTTTTTGCATATCAAAATGTCTTATACTATGAGATGTCAGTAGAAAAACAAAATATAATAATAAAAAAATTAGGAAAAATTTTATATAACGGAGGAGATATATGGATAAACAGATGTTATGCGGTGTGGAATATAAACGGATCGGATGTATGATTACCAAATCCGTATCTGTTTACTAATCGGATATCCTTAATCAGATACAGATAATAATCGCTTTTAACGGAAGTGGATATTTTCTGTATAAAAGGATACGGATGCAGACGGTAATCAAATTTTCGGTTATCCATTTACAGCCCTAATGAAATATACACCAAAGTTTTCTATTAATATTCCGTTGGTTTAAGTTTACACAATATGTTTGTGTGATCGACTAGGTTCCTTTACTACATGCGCTAGGATTTTTACAGGTTCTTCTTCATAAGTAAGACTCTCGTCGAGGGTGACTGCTCCCTCAGGTAGAACATGCGACGGGTCCAATCAATATCTTCTTAACATAGACACATGGAATACATCGTGTATCTTCTGTCGATAAGCCACTGGTCCTACTCGTTCAATGACCCTATACGGTCCAATGAACCTAGGACTTAGCTTTCCTTTCTTGTCAAACCTTAACACCTTCCTCCATGTGGAAACTTTGAGAAATACTCAATCATCAACATTATACTCAATTTCTCTACGCTTGAGGTCAGCGTCGTAGGACTTTTGACGATCCGAAGCAACTTGTAATCTATCGCGTATCAACCGAACCTTCTCCTCTGCCTCACGAACCAGGTCAGGTTCTTCAAGCTTAGGCTCGTTCAACTCGGTCTAGCAGACCGGGGTACTGCAACGTCTACCGTACAATACCTTGTACGGTGCCATCTGAATATTAGCCTAGTAGTTGTTGTTGTAAGCAAACTTCATCAACGGCAGGTATCATTTTCAACCATCACTAAAATCAATGATGCAAGCTCTCATCATGTCCTCCAGAATCTGAATTGTTCTCTCAAATAGACCATCTCCCCTTGGTGAAACGTTGTACTGAAATTGAGCTTTGTACCAAGAGCCTTTTGAAGACTCTTCTAGAACTGAGATGTGAATTGCGGGTCACGATCTGAGATGATAGACACAGGTACTCCATGCAGTCTTACAATCTCTCGAATCTAGAGTTCAGCAAACTTCTGCGAGGAAAAGTCTCGTCGGATAGGAAGGAAGTGAGCTGATTTAGTCAATCGGTCCATAAAGACCCACACTGCGTTGTTCTTTTTTCGGATAGGGGTAGGCCTATCACAAAGACCATTGTGATCATCTCCCATTTCCACTCAGGGATAATTGGTGGATGTAGCAACCCACTCGGTACTTGATGCTCCGCCTTGACTTGCTGACAAGTCAAGCATCTAGACGTAAATTCAAATATTTCGCGTTTCATTGTTGGCCACTGGTAAATCTTCTTGAGATCTTGATACATCTTGTTGCTACCGGGATGCATGATGTACACAGTTCCATGAGCTTCTTGTAGCAATCGTTCTCTCACTTCACCGTTAGGTACCACCAGGCGGTCCCGATAGAACAAAACTCCATTGCAATCAATAGTGAAGTCTCCTCTCTCCCCCTTGGAGACAAACTCGCAAGTTTTCAAACCGAAGTCGTCTGTAGCCTGAGCTGTACAAATCTTTTTGTCAAGCGTCGGTTGAAGTCGTAACTCAGCCATGGTCTTTCGACTCAAGGCATCAGCCAAAACATTGGCCTTGCCTGGGTAATAGTCAATATAGCAATTGTAGTCCTCGATCAACTCTAGCCAGCTTCGTTGTCTCAAATTCAGCTCCTTCTGAGTTAGCAAATATTTCAAACTCTTGTGATCGATGTGGATATAGGTAGTCTCACCAAAAAAGTAGTGCCGCCAAATCTTCAACGCAAATACCACTGCTGCTAATTCTAGATCGTGCGTAGGGTAGTTAGCCTCGTGAGGTTTCAACTGCCGGGAGGCGTAGGCCACTACCTTACCCTCCTGCATAAGCACACAGCCAAATCCGCTGTGAGATGCATCACTGAAGACTGTATAGTCCTTTTCAGGAACTGGCTGTACCAGCACCAGCGCCTCGGTCAAACACTTCTTGAGTTGCTCGAAGCTGTGCTGACATGCGCCAGTCCATACAAATTTCACGTCTTTCTTCAGTAGCTTGTTCAATGGCGATGCAATGGATGAGAAGCCCTCCACAAAGCGACGGTGGTAACCAGCTAGACCAAGGAAGCTCCTCACCTCTCGTGCATTCCTCGGAGTCTTCCACTCCATTATAGCTCCTCACCTTGATGCCCTCGTTGGAAATCACATGCCCTAGAAATGTGACTTCGTCGAGCCAAAATTCACACTTTGACAGTTTAGCGTAGAGTTTGTGCTGTTTTAGCACACCAAGTACAGTCTGCAAGTGTCTCGCATGTTCCTCTAGTGTCTTGGAGTACACCAGAATGTCGTCAATGAACAACACCACAAACTGATCTAGGTAGGGACGGAAGACACTCTTCATCAAGTCCATGAAAATCTCTTGGGCATTCGTGAGCTCAAACGGTATCATTGTGAATTCATTATGCCCATAACGTGTTCGGAAAGCTGTCTTCGGTATGTCCTCTTTCTTCATTTGGATCTGATGGTAACGTGACCGAAGGTCTATATTTGAGAACACCATTTCTCCTATAAGCTGATCAAACAAGTCGTCAATTCACGACAGCGGGTCTACGGTTCTTAACGGTGGCTTTATTCAACTGCTTGTAGTCAATGCACAGTCTCATGGATCCATCCTTCTTGACGAAGAGGAGTGGCGCTCCCCACGGGGTCACACTCGGCCTGATGAATCCCTTATCCAATAATTCTTGCAGTTGAGCCTTCAACTCCTTCATCTCCGTAAGTGCCATGCGGTATGGTGCCGCATAAATCGACTCCGTTCCCGGAACCAAATAATTTGAGAATTCCACCTCCCTTGGCTATGGCAAGCCAGGGAGATTGCTGGGAAACACATCGGGGAAATCACACACTGTAGGAATATCTTTCTGCACGGGGGTTTCCTTTGTGGTATCACAAACATGACACAGAAGTGCTTCACACTTTTTTTTCCGGATGAACCGCTTTGCTTGCATATAAGACATAAATTCCGGAGACTTGGGGAACAGCTCCCCCTTGACTTCCACAATGTCACCATCATCGGTGTTTAGTCGTACGGTGCGCAACCCGAAATTAATTATTGCTTGGTGCTCGGTCAGAAAATCCATACTAAGGATGATGTCAAATTCCTTGTATGGTAACTCGATTAGATTCGCGGATAGTCAGTGTCCTTGGGCCATCGACGGGCAATTACGGTATCGGTGATGAAGTCCCTAACGGATTAGATACTACCATTGGATATTCTAGATTGCCTCTCTCGATGTCAAGACTTCTCGGGCATAGGAACGCAAATGTAAGATAATGTAGATCCTGGATCAATTACTGCAAGTATCGGAGTACCGAATAATGAAAACATACACAAGATGACGTTGCGATTCACTTTAGTACGCCCTTACATGGTGTAGGTGCGTGCGGGAATACGTCCCTGATGACGATTCTGGATCTGATTCTGGTTATATCCTCTTGGTAGGTTCGAGCCCGCAGTAGATCTTTGACTCTACGTCAGCCTCTACCCGGCCGTCTGTGTCTGAACCTCCACGATGGAGATGTCACATCCTAGATTAGTAGGACAATCCTTACGGAAGTGTCCCTCCTTCCCGCATCCCAAACATAGGCCCTGTGTGAACCAGCAATCGCCTAGGTGATTCCTTCCATACAGGTTGCATACAGGGTGCCTGGAGGGCTTGCCGCGATTACTGGCCGACTGCGACCGAGCCAGTGCGGACTTGGTCTTCTTAAAGTTCCAGGTACCCTTAGTACCCCCTAAGGACCTCTTTTTGCTCGGTGCCGCACTGGCCGCCACTCGTCAGTGACTAGGGTCTGCCTCTCCAGCACTCAGGCTTGCCTTCAGGTCATCCACGTCCTTCTCTTTCTTCGCCATCAGTTCATACGCCTCGGAGAAGTTAGTGGTAGTTATGATTGACACGTAAGGCCGCACATCAGAACACAATCTCTTCGTGAACTCTTTAATTTGGTCAGCCGGCGTGGATACCAACGTGGGTGCAAACTGAGCCAAGCGTTCAACTTCTATCGTAGTTCGGCAAGGGTTATGTTCCCTTGTCACAGCTCCATAAACTCCATCCGCTTCTCCTCTCGGAAATGGGCTGGAATGTATTTATTCTTGAAAGCCTTGTCAAAATAGGCCCACGTCCACGGCTTCGGCGTCTGTGGCTTGCTGTCGGTGCGCTTCCACCATCCGTTTGTTCCTTTACAAAGCAGTTGAGATGCTAGCTTCGGGTGATCACCAATTGGCACATTCAGATCATTCAGCACTCTAGCAACTTGATCGATCCATTCCAGTGCTACCTGGGGTTCAGCCACTCGATCCCCAAGGAACTCTTTAGCTCCGTTATCCTTCAAAGTCTTGAAGGTGATCTGTCGCTGCGGTGGCGGAGGCGGTTGGAACATTAGCGCGTTTGCCATCTGTTGCAGGAATTGAGCCATGAAAGCAGGCATCCCGAAGTTCTGGTTGTTCCGAGTGTTCAGCGGTACGTTGGGATGCCCAGCGTTCTACTGAGGCATGAAGCTAGACGCCTCCGTTTCAGCGTCGGCGTGCTCACCGCCCAGCTGTTGAGTGTTGTCGTGGGCGTGCGTAGATGCATCACTCATTCTAAATTACACACATAAAATCATAATCAGTCATTAGCACATAACAATCAAAGTCATAAACTTATTACCTTCCTGGGGCTGATGACTCGCAAGAGATGTGGTGCAGCTTTTGAAAACCATCCTTTTATGATCCGAAGATCGGTTTTAAAACCATATTCTCTGATACCAAAATGTAACACCCAAACCCGCATAACCCGGATACTCGGATTAGCGAACCAGGTTGCTACTAAATTAGTATCCAAACACAACTTAACTTTTCAAAACAATTCAAATAAGCATTTCAAAACATAGTTTAACAATCATCGGAGTAATATTCAAAATAATCGCGGAAGCTTAATTCATAGTTTAAAACACAACTTGGGAATCATGCCCAAAATAGTAATAAGTTAATTTAAATAATAAGTAATAATTCAAAATCGTCGAATACTGCCACGCACATCTCAGCATCCTCATCACCCTCTAGGATTGGCTCCAAGTTCCTCATTTCCTGGATTACCTATGCGTAGCAAAGGAACAAACGCTGCATGCTCAACATTGAATCTAAGTGAGAAATACCTAACATACTGCCATACCAATAGATGATCCCACTTGCCCATATCACCATACGATATCATGCACGCAACATGTTTAACAACATTCATACTAGTATACATGATATAACATGCATAAACAATAACATAATCATTCATGAGATACAAATAACAATGATATAACCTCAGGTTCTTTCCTCTTTAGTTTATCTTACTTTCTTTTTTCGTACTTGGCTCTTACCCGATGCTAGGTTAAAGCTTAACTGAATTCGACTGGCCTATGGGAGTCGTGACATTCCCCTTCGACTGAAGATCAAGCTCAAACCAACTCGAGAGTTCCTCGTTGGGTGGGTGAGATCCCTGTCCCCTTTGGAACGACAGTTCTTAGATCCCCATGTACACGTTTTTACCCGGACAACCAATTGACTTAGCAGGTACCACATGACTCTAACTTACTAACTTATGGCATACCTTGCCACTAATCCATTTAGGGCAGTCCCTAGATTTTATTCTAGGCGATTCATCCTTTATTCATTAACATTTCATGTTATAACGTTCATACAAGAAACAAGCATCAATCATCACAATCAATGTAGTCAAACAGCGGCCTAACACTAGGTATTGGCACCCATGTTTACCGTCATTCAACACACAAATCCTCAGAATTGAACCTTAACACAAACACAGAATTTAGACCGGTTCAGGTACCTCACGGTACCCTTAATGGTAGGGGTTACCGGCCCCACGGTACCAGGGTATCATTCCACTTAACGTGGGACCGACCATGTGCGATGTGACTCTTACCCAGTAGGCCCTTCACGGTAGCCTCTACCGATCCGGCGGTAGGGCCTATCATCCGCCCGGTACCTAGGTACCATTTAGTGGCAGGTCCCGCCAGAGCAAGGGAAAAACGTGGTGGGTGGTGGTAGCCAGGTACCGTGCCGAATTAAACAATATCTCAAACATTAACTAACATGCTCTTAAACAATTCTAAGCTAAATCATGCTTCTCAATCGTAAATAACATAAACAAGGCATATTCCACGTAAGGTCTAAATAGATCAACCGTAATGATTTTACGAACGTAAGATTCAAACCTATAACTATAACCATATGTTAGATGTCCACGTACTCGCCTTGAATTTGACAATTAGAAAGCTATGGATGTTACCAATGGTTCTCGTGAGCGGCACACACTTCGTCTTTTTCCCCTTCCTTTTTTTCTTCTCTTTCCTTTTCTTCTTCATCTTTCTCCTGCTTCTGTTTCGTTCTTCTGCTATGTTTCCGGTCGAAAGAGACAAGAGAAACAAGGGAGTATGTTACGTAATATGGGTGGCGTCGCAAGGGTTTAGGCGTGTAGGGTGTTATTTATACTTTTGGGATTTTGGGCTCCGTATAACTTAACGTACCTGGCCCAAAACCCACTTTCCGGGCCCACAGGATCAAAATCCAAATCCGATTGCACCGTTGGATTCGTTCCGTCGAATCCTACACAACGGTAAAACCTTATTGTCAAATGAAAAATATTTCATAATTTCCACCGAGTCCGTCTCAGTAATTAATTAACTATTATTAATTAATTAATTTTGATAGGCCAGGTTTTGGGGCGTTACAATTAGCCGTTGTTCTTGCTCTTTCTTCGGAATTACTCAAGATGGATATTCACAATGCTTTCTTGCATGGTGACCTTGATGACAATGTCTACATGCGCCTTCCACTAGGTTTTTCTTCGTTACGCATGGCAAAGTTTGCAAATTACACTAGTCTTTGTATGGTCCGAAACAAGCACCACGGTGTTGGTTCACTAAGTTATCTGGTGCACTGAAGAGGTATGATTTTGTTCAGTCCATCTCTGATTACTCACTCTTTTCCATTCGCCAAGCAGGGGGGTGATCCATGTATTTGTTTATGTGGATAATTTGATTATTGCTAGGAATTGCTCAGAGCTAATTGTCAAATTTAAGGGTTATTTGTCAGAGTGTTTTCAAGTAAAAGATCTTGGCGTTTTAAAATATTTTTTGGGCATTGAGATTGCCCATAGTTCATCTCGTATATTCATGTGTTAGAGAAAATATGATCTCGATATTATCTCGAAGACTCGATATGAACTCGGCCTTTGGTTGGCGTGTTAGTTTATTTATCTGTCACTCGTCCTGAGTTAACTTATGCAGTGCACACTTTGGCACAATTGCTGAAGAAGCCGCATACGAATCATTGCCAGGTGGCCCTGAATGTAGTGCAATATTTAAAGGGGTGTCCAGGACGAGGTATGCTTTTATCTTCCACAAATAATTTACATCTCATGGGCTAGTGTGATTCAGGCTGAGCAGCGTGTCCAATCACTCGTAGATCTTTAAGAGGATTGTTTGTTTAGCTTGGGGATTCTCCTATCTCTTGGAAGACCAAGAAACAAAGTATTGTTGCGCGTTCATCCGCAGAGGCTGAATATTGGGCTTTGGCCCTTACCACGTGCGTGCTTAAATGGTTGAAGGGACTATCTCTGTGTTAGTACAGCTGCACTCCATATCGTAGCAAATCATGTGTTTCGTCTGTGATAAACTTATGTGTGGTGTTATTTATACAAAACACGTATTTACTACACACCAACTGGCAGATATGCATACCAAAGCACTAGGCAAGTCGTGTTTGGAGCAGCTACTTCCCAAGTTGGGCATTTCGTTGCTACATGCTCCAACTTGAGGGGGGTGTTGAGAATAAGAATAGGAATAAGAATGTAATTATCTTTTTCCTTATTATTATTTCCTTGACTTGTATAGTTTGTTTCCTAGTAGGATTTGAGTTCCCGGCCTGTGGGCTCTCTTATAAATACAACCCTGTATTCTTATTCAATACATAGAAATATTTTCCCAAATATTCTTCCAAACTTAACAAATCTGTGATCAAAGTCCTATTTTCTTTTCTCAATGACTGTCTGACCGGATTTGAAGGGACCCTCGGGGATGGAACTCATCCTTTTTTATTCAATCAAGTCCTTATCTTTACTTTTTATTTTATATATTGTCTCAAACTCTTTGCAACAATAGCATTGCACCATCTTTTACTCCATTAACTATATTTATATTAAATAAAGTATTAAATATATAATTGTATTATATATGTTTGAGAAAAGACATGCCATAGAACTGTATAGTTTTGGTATTATTTTCTAATTTTTTCCTTACATGATAATAGGATAGGATTTGATGTGTAGGATAAATAAGTTATAATTTGAAAATAAAATCAAAATTTCACATTTTTAAAGCTTTTTTTAAAATAGGAAAGGTTTTTTGGGACGATGAAATTAGAATTTTTTATGTACTTTTGAAGAGTGTAATTTATACTTTTTATACCAATTTGTAATTAAAATTTATTTTAAAAATAATATGGTTTTAAGTGTAATTGGAAGATTGATATCCATTGTGAGACGGAGGTAGTAAATATTATTTAATTTCTCACAAATAAAATGTCTTGGTTTGTTATAATAAAAATCATATATAAAAAATAAAGAGTAAATTCCATAATTGGTCCTTTATAACAGGAGAGTTTCCATATTTAGTCCTCTATTATCAAATATTACCCCTGTAGTCCTTTTTTTAAGGGTACCTTTCCACAAATGGTCCTTTTTTGATCTTCTGTCGTGTTGGTGTTAATTTAAAGGCTAAAAATATAATTTGACGTCAACATTATGTCTAGTGACGTGTTCTGATATTGGTTAAGCGGATAACACAAAAATAATGACTATGATTGTGGGCTAGAATTCTGACGAAAGATCACATTTGTAGACTATAGTCGTCGTAAAAAACGACTTTAATTCACAAACGACGCAAACTGAACTGCCTTTTGAATTGTGTATGACAAAAAAGATATATTATCATTGTGAAATTACACTTTTAGCCCTCAAATTAACACCAACATGATAGAAGATCAAAAAAAGACTATTTGTGGAAAGGTACCCATAAAAGAAGGACCACTTGGATAATATTTGATAATAGAGGACTAAATAGGGAAACCCCCATATTATAAATGACCAATTATAGAATTTATTCAAAAATAAATCTAAGACATGTGGGGTCAAACATTTAAAAAGAAAGAAAGCCGAAAGTGTGGGGAATTATTAAAGTGGAGTGGGGAAAGTTAAGAAGGAAAATAATGTAGAATTAAAAATAGGAGAGAGAAAAGGGAAAGATGATTGGTTAAAGATGCTCTAATATAGTTATGAGTTCTTCTTTGGTGTACTTTGAGTGCATGCCATTTTTGTAGACCATCTCACATAAAAAACTTTTTTTAAATTAAAAAAATAAATGCTTATTTAAGTATTAAAAAAATGATTATTTTGCTCATATGTAGGTTCATTGTGGACCTTAAGTCCACCATAAAATTTGTCTATAGTTATGCATCATAAGGTATATCTAGTGCTTCAACGGATGTGACTATCACAACTCATATAAGAAGATTTTATTGCACCAACACCTTTGTGGTTTGGTAAATGTGCACCGTTACCTCCAATGGCTTCAAAACTTACACCATTGCCCCTCATGTTTCTTACATTGCTACGCCAATGCTCCTTTGGACAAAAATATCCATGAAATATTAGTTAAATAACTCCGCTGCTCTATGTGGTTTTTGAAATAAGCGCCAACACCCCCCTCTTCTTCTTTTTTCTTTTTTCATAAAGAGAAGAAAAATGTTTGTGCATGAAATAATGAAAAATTGTTTTTCCAAACCTATATTTTAAAAAAGTTTTAAAAAATAAAAAATAAAAGTTTGTGTTTGAAATAAAAAAAGAAATAAAAAATTTAACATATACTTAATTTTTCAAATTATTTTTTTATTTTTGTCTAGAAAAGTTTTTATGTTTTTGAATATGTCGGGACAAAAAATACTGAGAACATCTTTTTAATTTATAGTTAATTATATATTAAAAATATTTTTTGAACCAATGTGCAAAAGATTTCCTTCATGACTTAATTTTCCATAGAGTAAATTTCCTAATTGGTCCTTTATAATAGGGGGGTTTCCCTATTTAGTCCTCTATTATCAAATATTACCCCAGTGGTCCTTCTTTTATGGATATCTTTCCACAAATAGTCCTTTTTTGATCTTCTATCATGTTGGTGTTAATTTAAGGGCTAAAAGTGTAATTTCAATATGATAATATATCCTTTTTGTCATACACAATTCCAAAGGCTATTCCGTTTCCATCGTTTGTGAATTACAGTCGCTTTCTACTACAACCATAGTCTACAAATGTGGTCTTTCGTCGGAATCCTAGTCCACCATCATAGTCATTATTTTTGTGTTATCCGCTTAACCAATATCAGAACACGTCACTAGACATAATGTTGATGTCAAATTATACTTTTAGCCTTTAAATTAATACCAACATGGCAGAAGATCAAAAAATAACCATTTGTGGAAAGAAACCCTTAAGAAAGGACTACGAGGGTAATATTTGATAATAGAAGACTAAATATGGAAACTTCCCTGTTATAAATGACCAATTATGGAATTTACTCTTTTC